TAGATTAACCACCAGGAGAAAATAACGAGTAAATAAAAGTATAATTATCCTAGGTGCATTTCCAACACTGGCAACCAGGTAGAGTTAACCAATACCTCTACTTCTCGTAGGGCTTAAATACGAAAATTCCAACAGAAATATTTACTAGGAACAGGACTTCGTTGTCCTTTTTCCCTCATCCCACACAGGAAATACAAAATTTTGAAAACGGCAGCCGCCGCGCCAAAAAAAAAGAGTATTAGTCGGTGGCGTCACCAGGTCAGAGGAGTTCAGTCAGCACGCGCTCCGCATCTCCAGCTGGTGATACAGAGCGAGTGCAAAACTCCGATTACCATTATGAGAAGAGATTTGTGCGAAATTTTTAGCTGTGCAAACCACTCGCCAAATTCGCTTTGATCCCGTGATGGCATACCGACCTGTCGAAAGTAAGGTCAACTTCGAAATGCAAATCTACAAATCTAAAAGAGACATTGGTAGTTTTTGTTGTTAGGCTCGCTGTAGTTGAAATTTGACTGATGGATCGGTGTGCTGTGCGTTTCAAAGTGTCAGTTGAGCAAGCCATGTGTCCTATTGAGGAGCAAAGTTATGCAAATAAGCTTTGATGTGCGCACGTGTCTATCCCCCCAACACATCCATAAAAGCACTTACGATTGCCACAGCACCCGCTGGAGATGCAACACAGAAATAATAGCATGATGCAACCTGGGATCACAGCCAAATTATGATCAGATATCAGCAGAATTCCAGTCTCATTTGCAACTCAGCCATCGCAGATGACGAGATGACACTACCGTCCCAGATGCAAGTGGTGACATTCATGGGAATACGTTTTGTAGCATAACACCTGCGTCAGGCTCCATCACACCCACAGTACTTTGCAGGCAAGAAAAAGCCAAGACAAGTGAGGTGAGCGAGATGGCTCGTCCCCGGTGCCAAACACGACCGGACATTTAAATTTAAGGGAGCAGGTCTTGGAGTCCACATACGTAGGAATACAATAGAGACTAAATGCATGAAGAACAGTTGAAGTCTGACCCCCAGTCGGACAGGCAGCTCTCAGGAGTAAGACCCCCCTAGCGTACCGTGGGGGGTTTAAAGTAGGTCATAGAGGTGGGTTAACTGGCTATGAGGAGGGCTTCACCCCAAAACTTGGCCGAGTAAGCTTGATTGATATTTTTCACGCAAATATTCGAGTGTTTAAGGGCACAATTTCAATTAATCAATTCAGTTATCAGGAAAAACACGCATAGTTTGATCAAGTCGTCGAAAAAGGTTTATCCAGAAAAGAAAACAAATACAGATTAATGTCAGGTTGGAAA